AATCCCAAGAGAGGAAAATACTTGTATGTTGAATTATCTAAAAACTTGCTTGTCTTTCATTTTTGTTTCATTTATCGATGAAGTCCAAGAGGAGAATATTCTCCCTAGAGCTATCATTACCTACATTCTTTTTTTATTTTTTCCAAAAAGAAAATCTCATTCATTTTTAAAACCATGCAATTTAAAACTAAGAAGAAACTTTTTTTTTTCCTACTTTGTTTTCCAACTTTTTTTTTCTTCCTAATACATTTGAGTTTACCATCTACTTTCATTTTGTAGTAAACAGTTCACGCAGCTTTTAGAAGAAAATATCGAGCTGAGTATAAATAGATACTGAAAAATTCAGGAGGAAAGTAGGCACATTCATTTTTGAGCGAACAACTTTTATTTATTTTAGACTATTAAAAAAGAAAGGAAAAACTATTTAAAAAAAATTATTTTAGGTTTAATAATGCACATTGAACTAATGATTTCATAAATTGATTTAAAAAGATTATTGACAAATTGTCTTCAAGTTTTTAGTGTTTGGGAAGGCTGATTCTTATGTTTACAAACAGTAAGATATTAATAAAAAAAAAACATAAATTGTCCTAATTACCATCTTAAATTCAAGTTGAAGGTAACCGGAAAAATATTTCGCTTAGTTTAATTAAATTCTTTTTTGAAAAATCTGATCTACTTGGAAGTACTGCTTTTTTCCATTATAAAATCACTCAAAAGTAATAAGTCTTTAGAAAAGTGTTAAATAGTGTTACAGTAAACAGCTGTATTTTATGCATAATGGGATACCTGCAAGTGACGTAGTGTGGGTATCTCGATCCTGATTGGTTGTTGAAACGTGGCATTTGTTTACGTTAGCAACTGTTCTTTCGATTATAATTCGAGTAAGCCAAATCTGTCAAAGTATGAATTCTTTTGAGTGACACATTTTAAAATCTTGTTCAAATATTCTTGAAGATTTTAATTCTTTCACTATATATTTACAAGGAGACTTAACACAAAGGCAGGCACGAAGTCATGTGGAACATAAACAAACTAATTAAGAGTCGAAGGTGCCAGGTACACAAAACAAAAATATATCATGGTTAAAACAAAATACATAAGCAGATAATAAATCTAGTTTAAATAAAAAAAGTAGACGATAAAGAATTGTATTTCAAGTAATTCAATGTGCAATACGGCTCTTTTAATTAACTTATCATTAATTAGCAACTGTTCTTTCCATTATATTTCGAGTAAGCCAAACCTGTCAAGTACGAATTCTTTTGAGTGACACATTTTAAATTCTTTCTCAAAGGTTCTTAAAGATTTTAATTCTTTCACTATATGTTTACAATGAGACTTAACACAAAGGCAGGCACGAAGCCATGTGGAACATAGACAAACTAATTATGCGTCGAAGTTGCCAGATATACAAAACAAAAATATATCATGGTTACAACAAAATACATAAACAAATAATAAATCTAGTTTAAATAAAAGAAGTAGACCATAAAGAATTATATTTCAACTAATTCAATGTGACATACGGCTCTCTTAATTAACTTATCATTAATTAGCATTATAACTTATGAAGAAAAACTTAGCTAAACTTTAATACGCCATTTTGCTGATAAAGATTAGCTGGTTCTGACGTCATATGTCACATGTGTGGGTATGGGAGGTCTTCTTCTTCGCTTGAAGTGTTAGCATCAAATTATCATTAAAAATGAGAATTGTCTATGAACATCCGTAATACTGTATTTTTAATGGGGAGTTTTATAAAAACCCGAAAACCAATTATATTTCGGCTTCTTACTGTAATTTATAGTAGGAACCATTCCCACTGTTCGTATAACAGTAAGTAACCATATTACTCATACAACAGATTTGTGTGTTGATAGACCCTTTACTATTATATCTAAGAATAACAATTTAAAGGACACTCTGATAGAAAATATAGATTTGCCTAATTCCCCCCCCCCCCCCNNCCCCCCCCCCAGATAGGAACCACCCTGCCCGACTTAGTTTTTCATCGTTTGAACAGGTTGTTGGAACTACATCCACATAGACACCTTATTAAGTATTTCAAAGACATTTGGTGCATCTCAAATATTTTTAACCCACTTTTAAAGATAACCAATTGTTAGACGCCGTATAGCATTATTGGCTCTTGAGTCTAAAACTTACAACTGACTGTTGAAACTACCTTGGTTTCAAAACTCATCTAGGGTTTTAAAAAGTATTAACTCCCGGAAACCCCTTTAACTCTTCCGCGGAACACTCTGTGGGAACCGTTGTTCTACGTCAGTGTTTCCCAAACTTATGACTTTTGTGTACCCTTTCTAAATTTTTCGTAACGCTGTGTACCACTAATACAAAATGAATGTATTTTTTACTGTAAAAAATTGTCCGAAAGTTAAAAATCACAACTGGCTGTTGATACCCCTAATTATTAACTGTTAACTCTGCCAAAAATAGCCAATAAAAAAATACGTAATCGTAAATTTTCATGACTAGCTTTGTTTTTAAATAAAATTTTGTGAAATTTTCGTTTGTTGCAAGATATTTCGCATTAGAATGCGTACCCCCGGTAGACTGTTCCCGTACCCCTGGGGGTACGCGTACCACACTTTGGGAAACACTGTTCTACGTAATCGCATTTATCAATATGGTATTGCTCACAAGGTGTCATGGCTTTTTGTGTTGGCATACTTATCTTCTACTAAGTATTTTTTTAATGAATTAATATTACAATATTTCATCGAACTGTTTCCATTGAATGATAACATTTAGGAGCACCAAAATTCGAAGAATAATGAGCCCTTGATTATTATCATCATCATCAAACATAAACTGAATTTCGAATTACATTTAACATCATTATGATAAAGAAACGTGTCAAACTAACGAGAAATGCATAACACACCGTATCATTATTTGATTATTATTATCAGAAATTGAGCAGTCTTAATTATCATTTGCTCTATTAATCATATGGACTCAAAAGTTATATATCAATTCAGATATTCAGTTAGTTGACGAACGTGTTCGGGAATATACTCATTTAGAATTCCACATTGTTCTCTGATGGAGTAAATCCTCGCTAATATCAGCACTGAAACACAAATATTTTGGTAATGACGTCGATTGTTAAAGGAAACATTTTGCTAGTTGACAAGTTGATTATTGCGCTTGTTGGATTGAGCGGAATAATAACGTTATTTAGAATTAATAGAATATAATTTTATAGCAATGGACTCTAACAATCGAGAACGAGAATTACATGGAATAAAATGAAATTAATGATCTAAATATGGCATAATTAATCTTTTATGATATCATTTAGAATAAAATTAGATTGTAGTGGGGTCTCAACAATTTAGACCTTAATATATCTTTTTAAGTCTTTTAATAAGACACTTTTTGAATAATATATTATTAATGAAATATAATGACTGCTTTGATTTTCAACATGTTAGGAAGAAAGTTATATTAAATAAAATAGAACGAATGATATAAATGCATCAATCGTAGGCTGCTAATAAAACTAGATTCGAACAACGTTAACATAATTAGTGGAATATAATTTGATAGCTATGAAGGCTCAAACGTTTGAGGAAAATGATTATGCAGAATCAAACAAGCATTTAGGTTTTAAAGAAAAGTACTAATTTAAAAAAGAAAGCGGCAATCTTAAGGGGTTAGATGAGTCTTGATAGAGAAAAAAAACACATTTTCTGAATTTTTTTATGCAATGAAATAATTCTCATGAATTTGTGGTACATTAAAAAATATACTTGAATTACATTTTTAAATTTTTTCAACAAAATTTTAAAAAATTAAGTAATTGAGAACTAGTTTTTGGAAAACCTCTCAAAAAAAGTATCCTCTCTTTAAATGCTATTCTTCAAAAGCAAATGCCCTGATTTTATTTGAAGATTTAAATGAATTAATAAATAACATTTGAATTTAGCCCGAATTGTAAGTGATTCTTATGAATTTGAGGTATATAAAAAAATACACTTGAAATACATTTTTAAATTTTTTCATCAAAATTTTAAAAAATTAAGTTGTTGAACTAGTTTTTGGAAAACCTCTCGAAAATAGTATCCTCTCATTAAATGCTATTCTTCAAAAATTAATGCCCTGATTTTATTTGAAGATTTAAATGAATTAATAAATAAAATTTGAATTCAGCCCGAATTGTAAGCAAAAATGAAAATAAAAACACGCATTTTCTTATTAAATGCGGTATGCTCAAAAAAATAATAATAATCCTATATTTATTTACAAATCAGTTTTTATCCAGGTGTGAATAAAATTTCAATATCAGCATTTTAGACAAAATGTTCTGTTAATTTTATTTTTTTCTCGACATTCACTTGACTTATAGGTAAATGGTATTTATCATTTGGATCAGGATGCAAATGGTAAATATCCCTTTGTGTTCTGATCCTGATCATGTTTCGACATGTTTTTTTTTTTTAATTTTACCTTGTGTGAAAATATTTATTTATTTTAAAAATGCTTTGAAATTTGAGAAATAAATACTTTATTGAAGATTTTTATTAATATTTGAATTTAAAATTGAGCTGTGTTAAAAATTGTGATTATTGCTGTATTCACCAAGTGTGGCTTTTGTTATTTAAATAGTGTTCTTTAACACATTGCACGCCGGAAAATTACATTACAGATGTATTACAAATGTTATAGATTTAAATTTTAAAAAAAGTGGTTGGCAAGAAACTTTTCACTATAGTTACAACATCAATTTAAAAAATAAAAATACGACGAAACGATTGCAATACTAATTTATGTTTGTGATAATCGCGAATGAACATATGATGATCACGAATGGATAATTTATTTGAAAAACCGAGCGGAAACGAAGTAGTTTTGCTACCACTTTTCAAACTTTTGCATGGATCAAGAAATTTCAAAAAACGTATTTTTACATGACCCGCTTGCAATGTGTTAAAATGCAAGTATTTTCAACTAATGAAGTAAAATTTTTTCAGTGTTTATATACGGAGAAGAGTGTACCCTGCACGAATTGCATGCTTGTTTAGAGTCTTTGCAATCAGTTACACAAAACAACGATTTAGCACTTGTTACTACCAAAGAAGAGCTTTTAGCTGTTTGCAGGTAATTCAAAAGTTATAAAATATTACAAACTGTTAAGTTAAATTTTTTATTGTTATTGTTAAGTATTATAAGTAATCGCTTTTTCTAGAGCACTTAATGTCTAGATAAGTTTTTATTTTATTTGAAGACACCACTCAAAAGTTTGAAAGTATGATAAGATATAAAGACATATTTTAGTGTTATACATAGCGCATTAGCTTTAGATTTTTGCCCATAGATGGCGCCACTGGAAAACAAGAACAATCGCACCCCCTCTGCCTAAACAGGCATACGTCAACAATTAGCTTTAGATTTCTGTGATAAAAAGTAAGGATAAAAAATATGTTACAGCTTTCTGTTTAGAATGACAATGTAGAGGAAAGGGGCCTATCTTGAGATAGTTCCCTATTATGCAATCTCTGTATTGTAACCAAATGTGCAGTTAGTGTAAAGCTTGGTGTCATGAGTTCAATCCTGGCAGCTGGCTTTACAACCAGTGTGTATACCAGGGACTAATATAGGGGAGATCTGCCTTTATATCTATGGTGTATACACAACAAGGTGCACGTTAAATCTGTCATGTCTGAAAGTTTTCTCTTTGCTTGTTTTGTGAGAGATTGGAGAGAGGGATCAGCTCAAGCTTGTTTACGTCGTGATATGAGCACCGAAAATAACCTCATCAATAAACCTCATTTACACCTCAAAAAATTAACTTCATATATAGCTAAAAATACATTATACATTAATTTGTTTCATAACTAAATTAGGTGTGTTTTATTACATCTGTCAACCTCTGAGCAATCACAAAAGTATCTTTTTCTGTAAGGATAGTGTTGTAATGTGTCAGAAGCTGGAAGAGATTTCTATTTTAAGCATGATATATTTATAGTATTCGAAATTTAAGCTTAACCATCGTTTCTTTTTTAAATATTATTTTACAGAAAACTTAAGGACAGCGTTGGTTGTGTGGATAATCACATGAAGCATTGTTTCTCACCTACGCAGACCAAAGTTTTCAACAGTTTGGTGTCGGGAGCAAGGCAGTTTCTTTCAGAGCTCTGCGTTATTGGTCCAATACAAGAAGGCAAGTTGTTAAATTAATAGTAAGAGAATGGTTAAACCAGAGCTTCCCAAAAAGTGTTCCGCGGAACCATAGGATTCCGTGGGAAATTTACAATATTGAAATTGCCAAATAATTAAAATAGGATATTGATGCATGTAGGCAAAATTCTCCTATGTTTTAAATAAATGAAGACAAAATAGAATGTATTGGAGTCGGAAAGTTGCTAATTCTGAAACCATTAAAATCTATTAGGGCGATTCTTTCGTTACGTGTGTTACTTTTACACGACATATTTCAACTTTAACACTTATTATAATAAACTTGTTAGATATTTTTTATGTTTTTCTTAATTTGTTGTTAAATCTATATGTGTTGTAAGTTTTCAAAACGAAGATTGAAGGCGCAAATTAATTTGATGTTGAAAAAAAAAATTTCTGAAATTTTGTTACGTGTGTTACCCTTTATAATGCTAGATATTTGAAACTTTGAATATATTCATTTAATTCTGTGAAGTATAAAGGCAAAAAATTAAGATATTTTCTTTTATAGAGAGATACAATATCGAAGCTGTGTTTAGTGATTTTTAAAAATTTCTTGCAACAGTAAAAACTTCTTTATTTTGGTGAAATTGGTGCGTTACGTGTGTTAACTGAACGTTACGTGTGTTACCCTCTGTGAATATTTCAACTGAGAAGTCATAAATGTTGCACTAAAACATTTATTTATTTTAATTTAGCAGAAGAAAAACAATTTATTTTAGCAAATAAAATAGTTAATGGTCTGGAAAGATGGTTGTAGCCCTTCTTTATACTGGTTTAGAGAGTAAAACATAGCAAATCTTAGGCACATCTATTCCTTCAAAATCATTTCTGTTTGGAAACAAAAATATGCATATTTTCCAATTATTTTATGCAAATATTGCATTTTAAGTTTACAAGCATGTGCATTTGCGTCAATAATGTTCCCGAGATAGAGCATATGTCGTTTTAATTTCAGTTATAGGCGCACTTCTGATCAGGAGGGAACAGAAATTGACTTACTGACTATTTGTGTGCCACAATGTGCATCTATGCATCTTATTCAAGTATCTAACGATACTTATGCATAGATTTTATGCTTTGTATTACCGTTGCCATGTATTGATCTTTTCAATTAATATCTTTATTTCCTTTTGGCTAATATATAATACTGTTGTATTAGGCATGAGTTGATTGGTTAGCTTTGCAAACAACACTGGATAGCAAATAAATTTTTTTGTATAACAACACAATGATATAAATAACTTTGCTTTTTGCTTCGCTTTCAAGATTTTGTACTACACACCTATCCCATAGAAGGAACTTCTGCATGTGATATCGTAAAATATTTCCAAATTAATTTCTTTTTTTATATTTTGATTGACAAAATATGAAATAATTCAACCATATATTTATTTTTAAATTCTTAACTTGACTTATTACTATAGAAGGTTTCTGTTAGCTCATCTTCTGAAGTAGAATCGTTTTTAAACAGTCTTAAAATAAAAGTGTAGACATTGTTTCACCTTTGTCTTTGCCTTAGGAAAATATTGTAAAGGACTCTATTTTAAACTCTTTAGGAGAGTATCGTCTAAGACAACAGCTGCTGTGAATAACGGAACTGTGGCTGGATAGCATAATGCTGATTGAAATTCGTTTTGATATTCAAAAGAATATGCCATTGCAAAGTCAACTTGAATTTCCCTGGTTTTAATGCTAGATATGTTTGTTTGGAAAGTATCACCTCGGATTCTTTTAACTCTTACGTATTATTGAAAGTTAGTCCAATTTTCAAGAGTTATTTCAAAACATTCTTCTTGCACATTTGCCATTATATATTTTTTATTGTGAGCTATTGTCATCTTTTTCTCATCGTTACCAAACTACAATAAATGATGGTTAGAAACCTATAACAAGCAATGAGAAATTTTTGTAAGTATCAGAAGCACCCTTCCAACAATTAGATCCAAAATTTCTTTTACTTTATATACATAAATACTTCTACCATCACCATGTATTGTCATAAACTTAATTTTAGCTTTCCAGTTAAAGAATAAAAATTTCATGATATTTGTTTTGATTCTAAGTTTTACAGTAGCAATAAATTTTTTAGTCATAAAGCACTAAATATGGAAAATTAAACAATGTTTAGGATGCAACTGACAAAAATCAGTATAAGCCTCTCTTAGAAACATTGTTAGATAGTTCTTTCGTTTTATTGCCCGTTTTTCCCCGTAATAATCCAGAGAACCAGCTCTTGTTTCAATACAAGCATAGTATAAACAATCTAACTTTTGAAGAAAATCCATTTATTAATAATTAAGTTCATCTGAAATACTTAGTGGTGAACCTTTTACATCATTATCAATCTGTTTTGAAAGTTCAAGTCTAACTTTCATTATTTCCTTATTTTCTTTCCTTTGAAGTGCAGAATCTTATGCTCTTTTCTTTTTTTCTTCATCTTCTTATTCTTTTAAATCCAGATAAGGACACTATTTTAAGCTTATCCATTTTATAATAATCTAGCAAATGCAGTCGAAATATTCTACTTAAACATAAACGTATAACAAATAGAAGTTTGGGAAAACAATTTCCAAAAGTTTCAAAATTATCGTCTTATTATGCTGTTTTTTTATTAATGCTTATACCGACCTGATTTTACAAAAAACCACAATCTTACAGTTCCGTATTTGTGGCATTGAAGTTGCGCGGCGGTTATAAAAAATGTCCGAACATGATTTAAATCTTTTATTGAAAATAAATAAATAATTAAAGTGCATAAGTACCTCTAACACACATAACAGTTACGCGCGTAACTTTTCGTTACGTGTGTTACCTTGAATAAAATTAATTATAAAATTTTAACTATTGGCAGTTTTAATTCGAGAATTTTTTCCGTTGCATATCTTGCCTTCTTAATTTATAAAACAAAAAATTTTCTTTTTTACTAAAGTTTTTACAGAAAAAAATGCGAAATTATGTTACGTGTGTTACTGGGAAATTAGACTATCTTGATTAATCGATTTTCAAACAAGCAAAAAAATTTAGGCCAAATTAAAAAAATACATTAAACAATGATAAAAGAGTAAAATAGTTATATTTATTACTAAAAACTATTTTATTGCTCTTTAATATTTTAAGAACTCCATTGGAATATAACATAACAAAGAAGAGAACTCCTGTTAAAATTCATAGTGTTCCACCTTTTGTTAGAATTCACATAAATATTTTTTGTAATTCAAAAAACTATCTTAACTATTAAAAAATGTACATCTTCTAGATTCCGAAATTGTGTCATTTTTGATTTTAAGATAATTTTGAAAGTTTAGTCACTCAGGACCACTTTTCGTGGAATCGCCCATTACTGATATTCATAATAAGATAAATACTATACCAATTTAACTAAACGAAGATATAGTTAACTAATAGAAGTTTGTTATCGGTAAGTCGCAGAATAGAGATTATGCTACAATTGTTTTAATGTGTTTGTTTTATTAGCAGTAAAAAAATTGTTAAAATACATCACTAACTTTCATTATGATAGTGTTGTATTGTATTTATTAAATATCCAAAATCTTTACTGAGGCATACCAAAGATAATCTAAATGTTTTATTAATTCTTTGCACTCTGAAGAAGAAAAAAAAATTCTGAAGAAATCTGTTAGAAATTTTTAAAAGAAATGTTTCCCCAATGGCAGTGAAATGATAATTGAAGTGACCTTGAAAGCAGTCATTCAATTGACATGAGCCAATATTTACTACTCAATAAGGCAACTAGCGGGTTTCTACAAGTATGTTAAAACTATTTAAATATAATTGTAATAAAAATAAATTTAAATTAAATTTGTTAAAATTGATATCAAACATAAATGTAAAAATTTTCTCACTAAATTAAATATAAAAATTAAAGTCTTCAAAATGCGGAAGAGGTGGCAGGTATTATTTATTCTACAGGAATATTTTAATTTGTTAGTACACCTTTCTTTTAAATTTTAAATAGTTGCTTAATTTCTGTTACATATATAGATTTTTTAAATATGATACAAAAGATACTATTTTTTTCTATTAGATACGCAGGATTAACAAACTTAAATTGCAAAGACTGCTTAAAATGAAAGAGATATAATAGGACAATATAAAACGAATATATGTTATTATTGAAAACCAAAATAACAGAAAGTCAACTGTTGGTGATGAATGGCAAAATTCACTTGCCTTGCTGTAACGAAATATTGATTGCAACAATCGGATTGTTATGTTTAGCTTACATCAGCATATGTAAATAATAATGATAAAAAATTTTGTGAATGTGAATGATAAAAAAAATCAATCATTTTTTACCATCAAAGCTTATAGAATGTCTCCTTAAGAGATATATGTTTTTATAACAAAACAAAAAAAAACTATTCCACAATCACCATCAATATAAATATTAAATGTTTTAATTTGATAACTATTTTTATTTAACAATTATTCGGAACAGATTCAAAAGCGACTATGAGAATGTTGCCATTCACCAGAAATTAACTTCAGGCTATTATAACTTCATTAAAATTGCTTCAACAAAAACCATCGAATAATTTCACTTTAAGATATGTTGGCGTGAATTTAAAATTTGTTGTGATCTGTATAAACGAATTAATGCCATTTAGTGATAATAGCTTTTATGAACAATCCTTCCTCATCTATGTCTAGTTGATTGAAATAAAGCTTAAAACTTTCCTTTTAACTGCATTACAGTTTCTAAAAATAGCTGTTTATTTCCGCTACCTTATCATATTACATTACTCGCAAGAAGAGAACTAAAAGCGCTGATGTAGAAAGTGGCTGTCAATAACTATTTATCTACTGAAACTAAAATCTAAAAAAAGGTAAATCATTTTTAACAAAGTTGAAAGCTTCGTACAGTTAATTTAGTTAGATTTCAAAGCACTTTTTTAAAAGACTTATCACAGTCTCTTGCGAATATGTGAAATACTTATTACCGGTTACAAAAGACTGCATAAAAATAAAGTATTGCAAACTTTGCCGTTAAAAGGGGGATTATTTAATTAGACACATAATTCAATTTGAAAGAAAACAGAGCAGAATAAATTATAATTGTCACTGTTTAAGCTTTAGAAATTGTTTATAAACGAAAATACTTAGAATGCATTAATTTTTAAAGCAATTATTTGATTTTTAAACTTAGATCTGCATTTTTGGGTGCACGTACGACAGTTTAAATCATAATTTTTTTAGATGTTGCCTCAGATCAAATTACTTAAAATATAAATTCTATCGAAATTTATGATAATATGAAACTATTTATTCATTAAACCCCCATTAGCTAAACTTTTGAAAAATAGGGATTTTCAGTAAATATGATAGAATTAACTTTTAAATTATTTTATAACCGTCGTTGAACAGAAGACCCAATTTTTGGGTTTACGACTACCAATGTTAAACATCGTAATCTTGTAATTTTTAACCCAATCCAAAACACAAGGGTACTCCTGGATAAAGTATTCGGTGAAATTTGTTCTCGTAGAATACTTTTTTTGATGGAACTTACCCTCATTAGCGTTACACGGAGAGGAAAACCTCCCGTGGTTATCTTGGACAGAAAGGGAACTCTAATCTATGATCCGTCTTTCCTCTGAGAATATTTTACGTCAGTGCGAGCCAGGTGCGGAATTCGAATCGACCAACCATCGCTGGGATTCGAACCCGGTTCACCTCATTGGGAAGAGAGCACTCTATACCCTGAGCCACCACGGCCTATATAATATATATATCTATACGTATTTTATATTTGAAAATTCCGATTGATTTAAATAAATTTTTCAAATTAAAATTCAAGCGTTACAGCATAGTTTTCAAAACTTGGCCAAATTGCCTCGATAGATGCTTGTACAGTCCGCAAAAAAAAAAAGATATCACCCTGAATAACTTTCGTTCTAATGATCGGATTTTCTCGAACTAAGGGTTAATCTTAATGGTTCCTGGGGGTGACCTCAAATATGCTAATTAATTAGTGCTAACTATTAATTAAGTTACGAAATCAGACACAAAAACGTACTTTCTCTGAATAAACATATATTTTTTCTTACATATTTGGATTCTTAACCTTCAAAATATAGGGGGTAGCCGCAATCTGGGAAATATGGTCCCCATAGTTTGGTCAGGAGAGCGATCCAAAGTTCGTACCCCTTAATGTTAATTTCACTTTTTACGTTTTTAGTCATATTTTAAAAACTAATAAAGCAATTCGAAGAAAATTTCACCCAGTCATAAAACTCATTTACCCAAAGATAATTTCACGAAAAAAATAATTTTTAATAATTGTTAATTATTTTTTATTATTTAATTAAATTAAGGATGAAAAATTTTTGAATTATAAGGTATGAATTTTTTTATACCATATTAATCTACATATTTTTCAATTGAAAAATCTAAAGTTTCAACTGTTTTTATTTATTAGAAGCTGAGAAAAATTAAAATTAATTATTTTTAAAAAAATAATTTGGCGACAATGAAGAAATGATTAAATGGAGCGATTAATATTAAAATGTGATAAACTTGCGAGGAACTTGACTTCGCGCGCTTAGCATAAAATTTCATTCATATTTTTTTCGCTAATAATCGTTTGCTTATCTTTTCATTTTTATTTTTTTAAGCTATAAAATACGATGTTTCTTCTTTAGTCGTCTAAAATTCTATTTGCAATTTAGTAAAGAAATTTGAATAAAACATTTTATTGAATAAAATACATTTTATTCAGAGAATGTGGAGTTTTATAAAAGCATGCTTCTGATAGAATATGATTATACAACAGATTGTGCTTCTTTAATGTGATTTTTTTTTATTTTTTTTTTCTCAATAACTGATAAAATTTCAATAATATACATACGAATGAATAAATTTGGAATAAAATATTCATCAATTTCTTGAATATATATTTTATAAATATTAATAAAAATACGCAGTCAACATTTTTAAGCATCTCTCACAACATCGCAAATTTCTCAAAATCTTATAGGGTAAACTAACCAGTGAAGGAATACTTAAGCTTAGCTTGTCTTTAAAAAAAAATCATAAAAATTTCAAAATTTGTAATTTTAGCTAAATGACGTATTTGTTATTAAATGCATGTCGACATATTTGTTATTAAATGCAAATTATGTAAAAAAAATTTAGATAACTTACATAATATTGTTTTAAGCTTTTGGTGGTTTAAATAATAAGTAGTAAGATAACCAAGTGAAGGAACAGTTCTTAAATTGAATAAACACTAAATTTTCCAGTGAATGAACACTTAATTTTGAGAATGTTTGATGCTCGTTAGGAATCCTTAGGCCACACAGATATCTGTCGCCCTGTAGATGCCTGAATTGACGGATGTTAACACAGGCGGGCATTAGGAAAAAAAAATCTTTTAAGTTTTCGTGCCCCCATTTCAGTATCTTAAGGGCCTTACGAGCTCTGTTTAAAAAGAGAGTATCATATCAGATATATATATATATATAAGAAAACAAAAATAATCATAGTAGCAGTATTTGGTGGTAAATGTAGCTTATCGTAATTGAAGAATATGCTGTGCGACATTTTATGGTGAATTTGCGAACGTAAGTTTCAGAATGTATCGAAACATGTGGATGCTATTTGCTAATCATCTTTATCCAAAGAAAACCATGTAACGTAAATATCTAGCAAAATGAAGCAATTTTTTAAACAATGAATCATACAATATGCAACATATTATTTCTATATCTTATTCTTAAACATAACATATTTCAATGTTTTTAAAATGCCACTAAACATTCAGCAATTCATTGAGTTATAGAAAAAAGAAATCGTAAATTACAGAAAACCTTGTGAATGTGCATTAGAATTACTATACAATCTACATTTTATTTTTCATGCACTTTTTTTTCCTTCAAACTTTCATGCCTAGAAGACTCGATTAAAGCTGTAAAAATCATTATCCCTAAAATTTTGTATATAGCTATTATAAGTTATGTTAATTTGATTTTAGTATGAAATCCTCGAATAAACATAGCAAAAATAGCATAATCTAAATAATATCAGATAAAAAGTTCATGTATTTAAATTCTGAAAACTTATAAATCGATTCAAATTTTCTTTTCAAAAGAGATTAAAATAATTTTTTATTTTATTTATTTATTTATTTTTTTTGCTTTTTGGACATAAATGAACTTAAAAATTGTCTATTGCCTAGAAACTTCGAGGTGTTTTCTATTAACTATTAATTAAACCTCTCAGAGCAATCACAAAACATTATTTCAATTTTTTTACAGTCAGAAATTGGTTGCCTAGCAACCTAGTAAAATTAAGCGTTTCTCTTTTGAATCAGTCAAGGGTTATCTTAAAATATTTATTTGCGCAGGCGACTTTTTTTGGCGGTTTTCTGGACTATCGCCAAATATATAAACCTTTATTGCAACCCAATTTACGACCCAATTGTTTTAAAATTTTGTCTACCCCCCCTAATTCAAGTGTCTAGATTCCAAATATGTAAAAAAAAATATATGTTTATTCAGAGAAAGTACGTTTTTGTGTCTGATTTCGTAACTTAATTAATAGTTAGCACTAATTAATTAACATATTTGAGGTCACCCCCATGAACCATTAAGATTGACACTTAGTTCGTGAAAATCCGATCATTAGAACGAAAGTTATTCAGGGTGATATCTTTTTTTTTTGCCGACTGTACATTCTTATTGTTAACCGAAATGTGAAATATTTATGCATCTTATTATTGATTTATTTATTCATGCATTATTAATTTTTTTTCTGTATTATTTATCTCTATAGCATACTTAAAACACGCCCCATGTTTCCAAAATGTCTCGCTGTCCGAGAATAAATGTGCGCCTAAATATAGACATCTCATGCAGCTGTCTGAAAATGTAGAAGAACAAAGAAATGTTGATGATGGACTCAGGGAGTCTTGCTGGTAAGTATTAACTTTACTAAAAATTATAGAGAAATCCGAATTTTTGCGGGCTCTACAGGTTTTAAACGATCCACCTTCTTTCAGGCGTATCTCTACTTTATTAACGAAGTTCATTAGCTATTACCAAAGCGAACACTTTAATTAAAGAAAGGCATGATTTTTTAGAAATTATTTATTGTGAAGAATGAAATTTCTTTCATCAGTTTACGAATATAGAACGAGTCTAGTAAATTAAGCATCATGCTAGAACTGGAGTTGCATCTAGTCCAGTTCGTATATGTAAGTTGAAAATGAATAAAATAAGCTAAATTCTGGTTTTGGTTAAATGAAAACTAAGAGCTGTTTTAAATGCTGAGAATGATTATTAAGGAAATATATTTCTTTGTAATAAATTTTGGTAATTTTTTTCTTGTTCTATTTAGAAGTTCGACTAATTAAATAATTTAAAAATGAATATGGTTTATAAATTCTAACTCCGTCAGACCAATTGGGAAATAAGCAAGAACAACAACATAAATGAATATCCTATTCATAATTTGTTCAGTATACCGTTTTAACAACTTTTTTTAATATGTTGCGATTTATTTTTTATAAACTGTTTTTTTTTTTTTTTTAACTTAACTGAGTTTTTTTTTTTGATTAAACCATAAAAAACGAAATATTAAACAGCAAATAAAATATTAATTTCATATAATTAAAGGTGTCAAGTATTGCTCGCTGCAAAAAAGGCTTTTTTGGAACCCATGTGATTGTATCACGTGATCCAAGGGTGCCGCGAAATACCTTTTGGAAGCCGCTGCCCTCGAACATCCTCTTAATTTTTCTGTAAATAGGAATCTGTTATGTACTACTTAAAAAAACAGCAATCGATTCTCTAAAGAAGTGGGTAAAATTGTAACAACTTCCAGTTTTTCAATTAAAATAAAAATACCATTTCTTCTAAAAAAAAAAACTTCATTTCATGAAAAGTTAACTCAAAATTATTATGATTGTTTAACTATCGACTCAATTTATTGTTGTTTATGTCATTATTTTTTCCTTTTTCAGCGCATTCAACGAATTTGTTTTGTGCAAATATGAACACGTCCGAAAAGACTGTGGATTGTATGCAGCTGAGTTCTTACAACAGCATTTAGATCGCATATCTAGCCCATTAATTCACGAGCATTGTGCACATTACATGTACGCAACCAATGCATGTGTGAAATCCTCATCAGCAAGCAATTTGGCTTACAATTCAGTTTTAAAAACTTTATTTGCTCTACAATTAATATTTATCTATCGAATACTTAGATTAAATTGAGTCTAAGTGACATTTAACAAGTGGAAATATGAAGCTCAAATGCAGCCAAAATTTTGTGTTATTATGGTGAATTATAATAGATACAGTATATAAATAACGAGACGGGGGGGAACTGTTTTGTACTATTTTTTAATACAGGGTAAAAAAAAATTTTATAGCCTTGCGCAGTACCGCTTGGATCAATTGCACACGCATACTTATGATTTTGTCGCCCGCTTAAACGAGCAGTGGTCTTTTAACTTCTTAATAATGTAGAGGTCACGTGGGTACAGTGGCACATGAATTTCCATGTTAATTTCTACAGAATAACATTCATTATGATTTAACGTGGCCATGTGACAAGATGACTTCTCAAAAAAGTTTACTAGGATATTTGATTACCTTTTTTAAGTTTGTTAGTGTTTTCAAATAACACTGATTATTAAGATTGACTCCAAAATGTAAGGTAATTATAAATAATCATGCATTTTCGGTCCCTCCATTAGTTTTTCAGAAACTGAATGATTGAGCTGACAACTCCTTAGCTGTCATCGTTTTATCATTGCTTTCATGACAATTATTGTCATCTAGAGAGTGAAAAATACGCGAATCGTTTTTTTTCCTTCTAAATAACATAATTTTACTTTAATAGCTATCTCGTTATTTATAAACTGTATCTAATAAACCCTATCTTTGTAAATACTAAAAAGTTATTTTCTTTTATAATGATCAATCTTATGCTCATGTTTGTCAAATATTATTTGTTATTACTACTACTGAAGTCAGCGAGATTCAAAACATCACATCTTAACCCCTTCCTTCTCGCTCCCGTGAAAATGACGGGGTAATGTTTCGCCCTCTATTTCTCGCTCCCGTGATATTGAACGGCTGGAGTGTTCAGTAGTAACGTGCCAATAAGAATAAAACTAATTCATCTTTTTTGCCCAGAAAACATTTTATTTCTCATTTTACTCACCCGATGGCAGTACCAGGATATTTTTAAGGTAATTGTATATAGTTAGTTTATTTTAAGCTACAGTGGCGCTCACGTACTTAAGGACTGTGTTCTCAAAATAAATGCGTCATTATATTGGATGAATATTATGTTTTGATTAAGATATCTATAATGACGAATTCTACCTTAGTTGAACTTCAATCCTCAAATAATTCATTCGTGTTCACAAGTGTTTCATAAAAGTTTATTTAAAAAATATAGTATTTTGTTAAGTTTCTTATACTTAAGGACAGTTTGTCTAATCATGAGTTATTGAATGATTACAATCAATTTATCGATCAATGTAAGTGTAATTTACTACATTATCTTTGTTTGATGCTTTAAAACATTATATTAATATTTTTTTCTTTCTTTTAGTACAAATTTCAACATTATTATGAGTAAAGGTAAAATGTTAGCAATGAACAGAGATGTCGAATAGATACTCTGAGAAAAGAAGGTTTAAGCATTAGAAAAATTGGTAGGCGGTTAAAATTACCAAAAACAGCAGTTTTCCAAGCATTGAAATCTATTCAAGTGACCAAAAGTATTGAAAAATCATCCCGAAAATCACGTCCTCGCAAAACTACCGAACGAGAAGATCGAATTTCTGAAGCTGATCGTCACAAAACCGCCCCGGACATCAGGAAAGAATTCGCTGAATTAACAGGCAAGCACGTAAGCAATAATACCATCAAACGGCGTTTAAATGAGTTTCGGCTTATGGGTCGCGTATGCAGGAAAAAACCGTTGATGTCAAAGAAGAATATAGCAGCTCGATTAGCTTTTGCAAAAAGACACCGAAACTGGACATAGGCTGACTGGAATCGAGTTATATTTACAGACGAATCGAAGTTCAACAGAATGGGCTCAGATGGCAAAAGATATGTGAGGTGTTGAGTCGGTGAAGAATTTAATGTACGGTGTACGAAATCAACTGTAAAAGGTGGAGGCGGCTCGGTAATGGTGTGGAGTGCCATGACACGTTCAGGATGTGGTCCAATTCACAAAATCGAAGGCATCATGGATCAGCATGTGTATGTGGACATTATCAAGACTGTTTTTCTGCCTTATTACAGGGAACTTCGCTGAAGAAAACCAATCATGCAAGCCGATAATGATTCAAAGCACACGAGCAAAACTGTGAAAGGCTTCTTGTCAAGCAAGAAAATTGAAGTTTTGCAGTGGCCTTCCCAATCACCAGATCTCAACCCGGTCAAGATGCTATGGATAGAAGGGGATAAATATGTGAAACAGTAAAAACCACAAAATTTAGGTGATTTATGGAAATGTGTCCAAGAAGGCTGGGCGATACCTCCAGAGCGATGTCAAAGATTAGTAGATTCGATGTCTCGTAGATGTGAAGCAGTAATTGCCGCAAAAGGCTTACCGACTAAATACTGGCTTCAAATCTTTTATTTTTGTTACATTTTTTACATTGTTATTAATTTTATTAACGATTAAGAAATATTTATTTTGTTGTCCTTAAGTATGTGGAATGCATATTTTTTCTAAAATGTTACATAATTTAAGTATAACAGTTAGATAAATGATTTTCATTGTGAAAATATATTAAAAATAAGTTATTTGTTCCAATACATAATTATCAATTCAATAAACTTATGCGTGAACATTAAATTTGGGATTTTACTTTTCATAAAGACATGTCCTTAAGTACGTGAGCGCCACTGTACATGTCAGCACTGATCAAATACGTAATACAAATACAAAAGCCAAAAAATAGGCACTTTTATGACCGTTTTCTTGAAAATTAACCGATAGTTAAGGGGTTAATGACCTTATTGCCAATATCTCTGTTTTATTCGAAAGTTAAGTATCAAACCCATTAGTGCTCAAACTTTTATTCTACATTGAAGTGAAAACTGCTCCCATACATAAATTATTTATATGTTTATAATTGAAAGGATTAGGCACAATATAAAGGCAATTCCCCTCTTAGGCGCAATTCCCCTCTGATTGTTGACTTTATATGGCTTTTTTTTTCTAACAAATGAAATTTACATTAGTTCTAAACTCGGTAGCAGAATTTACGGAATGATTCTGCAACGCCATCTTCATAAATCCAAATTTGTCTGCTACTTCAACGCATTCAGAGAGAGATTATTATAATAAACAAGAGCAAATTACATACAAGAAGCAAACATAAGGTCCTTAAAAATTGTAAATTTTATATTTATTGTTGTTTAATATTTCAAGATGAATTTTAGTCAGGACGGCCACCTTTCTATTTGAAAAAGTTTCTTATATTAATTGCGTAAAGTATATATTTTAATGTATGATTTTTGATTTAAAAGATTTAATTTAAAGTTATTCTCCACACCACTTCATGTTAATGATTCAAAAGTTCATAGAAAAAGTCATTTTGTTCCAGTTATTTCTTGAGTAAACTTTTAAAATGTTGACAAAATCAACCGAAATTTTGAAAGCTTTCAATTTTATTGTCCATAACTGTAAGAAATATTTTGCAAAAAGCGTAGTAGTTCGTAGGCCTGTTTTTATACAATGATATTAAAAAAATGGAATAAATAACATACCTATACAGTTAAGCCAATACAGTAACTAGTAACGTCTGTAAGAGTGACAGAAAAAAAAATTCTTTGCTTGTTTTTGTTATTTGCGGTGCTCTTATAATTCAGTTTTCTAATTTTTATTAGTAACAATGTTTAAAATGTTAGAAATGTTTAAAAGAAACTCAGCAACCCACTCATTTGTTTGCTTTTTAAAAATAAAAACTTATATGAAAAATAAATTTGCAGCGCTCGCTGCTGAAGGGTTTCTGCTACCGATGTTCTAATATTACTCATTAAATATTTACTTTAAAATACGCTGTGCTGGCAATAAAAGTTTAAAACATTGTTAGCACGAATATAAACAAATCAATAGCAAAGCTATCACTAATTTTCAACCCTTCTGATTGTCGCTACCTTGTATATAGAATCTAACTAGTTTTGGATATCACACCTTTATTTTCAAGAGCTTCGAACATAAAATCATCCAGTAAATCACCCGGGCGTTATTTTGATGACTTTAGTATGCTAAAATTGGAAGCCTTGTGATAACATAATTGTTATTGACAAATCATTACTAATTAGTTTAAGACAAAGTTGTAGAAAAGTTTATGGCGGTCAATCTAAGACTATTAGCATCGTTTGAGCACAAAAAAGTTGACATACATTTTTACAAGGAACTAAATTGCTTATTTTGAAACATTTCATAATCAAAATCTTCCAAGAGTATAACTGAACAGATTATTTTACTTAACCATAAGGTCTGTCAAGACTTTCATGAAAGCAAAACTGACAAAATCATGAAGCATACAGCGCAGTATTATAAACGTCGTGTTATTTTTTTTTAACACAGGTACCCTCACATGTGACCAATGACGTCAGTTCCAGCTGATCGTTTATAAGCAAAATGGCGCATGTTTGGGTTGAGCTATGCTTCTTCACATAATTTAGAATGCTAATTAACGTGAATTAATTAAATAAAGTGCCATATCGCACATCAAATTTGTTGAAATATAATTCTTTTTCTTAACTTGGATTTATTATTTATGTATTTTATTGTAACAGTGATATATTCTTGTTTTGCGTACCTGGCAACTAGTTTGTTTATGTTCTACGTGGTTTCATGCCTGTCTTTGTGTTAAGTAAGAAATGTATAGAGAAAGAACTAAAATCGTTCTAAAAGAATATTTGTATAACAATATAGAATGTGTCACTTAAGAAAATTGATACTGGACAGGCTTGACTTACTCAAAATAGAATGTAAAGAACAGTTGCTAACTAAACAAATGCCACGATTCAACTGCCAATCAGGATCGAGATGCCCACTCTATGTCACTTGAGGTATCCCATTATAGGGAAATAGTCGATAGGTCTGGGTCTATACTAGCAGAATCACCTGTTTTAAAATTTTGATTTGGTGTATTTAGAAATAGAGACAATAAAGAAGGTAAAATACTAGAATAGCCACCTCTTGGTGACGTTTTGAAATCTCGCCAAGTTGACATTTATAACATGGATCAACGTTGCTTTTTGATTGTTAAAAAACAATTTAAATTATAACAAATTTATTTATAACTTCATTCATACAACTTCTAAACTAATACCTTGTCATACGCAAAACATCATACATACTTAATTTACTCATAGAAAACCAGGTACCTCTCCTAACACTCAGACAAACATCACGCTCAACCACATTCAATCCACGCTTTCGTCATCTCCATTCAAAACCATGCTCTGTATCCTTTCGCTTTGTCAAACTCTTTTGATCTCCACATTTAAGGCATTCATATGTTTTCTAAATTAAATTTTGATTCATACACCATTAAATCATCGCTCTCTTACCTTTTGCATTCAATAAAGTTAAAAATTCAGTCGTCCATTCGCTCGCCATTTCAATCGGTACCGCACAAAAAAATTTAGAAAAGCATTTTATAAATCTATTTACCTTACTCAAATTCCGAAAAGCCATTAAAGGAAATATTTGAGATATCGTCTCGTCCAAAATAAGGTCAACGCACTCTTCAGTTCACTGGTTCATTGTCAATAGATCCAGTCTTAACTTCCACTAATCCGGAATGGAAAGTCCCACCTTCGCTTCCATCTTATGTGTTGGAAATACCAGAACGCTTAAATGAGTTTGAGATAGTCTATTCGGAGACGGCCACCCAAAAGCCAATCACATCTTGCCGAGTTAACATTCCTGGCAAACCTTTTTAATTTCCCAGCAAGGGACTTATGATTATTCCTAATGAATAACAACTATTGTCTTCTTAATACACTTTTAAAGGGCGCCATGCACGAAACA